ATTGTGTGAGTTAAGTCCTTGGTTTGTGGTTGAGGTGTGTTTTTTTTTCTTCTTTATTCTTTATAATGTGGGATATTTTCTAAAATGCAAACTGGGGAAAATACTAGAAGTTATCAAGCTACACCTTATACATGTACTGTATGCAAGTCACAATTTGAGATGTTAACGCTATTAATATTTTATCTTAACAAATGTTTAAATCATCAGAATCAGAAATGTTTTACTTTATATGTTTGGGGTTTCATGCCCGGCATACAACTGACTTTGTTAATAAATGTACAGTACAGTATGTTATTTCTGTAAAAAGATATAGAACGGAAATCAATAATCATACATGTAAATGACGGGTCCCTTTTAAACGTTACTTTAGTACTAGTAGCTGACACTTTCTAAGTTTCTATGTTTTAAATTTGAACATATATTTTTTTATTTTGTGTCATTCCAATTACTTTTAGACACTTAGATATTCTTGTGTAATTTGAGAGATTATTGAAACTTTAAAACAAGCTAATGGATTCACACATACAGTTCAAAAGATTGCATGAATTAGATAACAATTTCTATGAAAATATAAGTTGTTTTTTTGTGAATTACCCAAAGGATTATTGATATCTGAATGTGTGTTTTATTTTTTAATTGATTTTGAATATTCACCTGCTTCTGTAGAATTTCCAATTTATTTGATTCTAAGATTGCAATATTTTCTCATTTTTTTTTGTACATGATTTATTTTTTATTACCGGTATGTCATGGTACAGTTTAGTACCTTTTGATGCATAAGTTAAAAAGCAAAGAAAAATAAGAATACATGTGCAATTTTATAATATGATATTTTATTGAATGAATGATATTTTATTTATATTTAATGTTTTAACAATTTCACCATTTTGCCCAGTAATAAAAACATTTCTTGATTGTAATGTCTTACAATGAAAGTGCATCATTCAAAGTCTTTGTAGTCTATGGAATTGTTATAACTGCACAAGAGTTTGGGAGATGCATGAATGTTTTCCTAAAGTTTCTCCAAATCTATAATGCTCTTGAATATTACCCCAAATTCATATAGCTCTTAGTGCAACTCTGTGCCTCGTGCTACAATTTACATGTAACTTACTGACACCGTTGTTCACGCTCAAATATGAGATGTACATGTACAACTGTAGTTGCAAGTTAAGAATTGTATGTAACAATAACTTCAAGTCCTTATTTAGTCACTCCCTCAAACTTATTCAAATTTCAAAGGGGGAAAACTTTGTGAAAGCATTATAGATTTTAGAGTCTCTAAAGAAGAATCTTTGTTTATTTATATCTCAGGTATTGCACATGAATCTGTCTGAGTTAGATCATAACATTAATTATGTTAATTTTTTGTTTATTTTAAGTAAATGGAAGGATTTTTCTACCAGATTGGGTAAGTATTGGTGTAAAAAATGAGTTGCTTACTGAGGACCGTTGGATATTAGTTAAAAACATAGTTTTCTGGAAAAACAACTCTGATAGATGTGATTACGGTACTTAGATATTGTACACTGTAGATAATTGAATGAGGCTGAATTGAGTGTAGTGTGATTGGAATGGTGCAGTGCTTCTTTTCTACCTTTTCTTGGCTATACAACTCTAATAATTACTTCAAAATAAGTGTTGAACCTGATTTTCTTTTAGAGAATACATCCTCCTTAGCTACCTGGTCTGAATGACTACCCCCCCCCCCCCAAGAAAATGAACCCATATATTCCGCTTATTTAATCCCCCCCCCCCCCCCTCCCCAAGATATGAGGGTAACTTATTGTGGTGAGTTTTTATTTTATATTTTTTTCATTAGGGGTTACATGTGGGTGCAAAAAAGGGATGAGTTGTCGGGTGGTAGTGATCAGATCCAGCGAATACGAGTCTTGAGCCGAGGGTATACATGCACATGTAGTTGCCTAGGGATGGGGTATTGTCTGGGGTTGGTTGTTATAACTTGTACTGTAAGTCTCCACTTTAAAAATAAATCTCTACCTTCATGATTCACATCAAATAATAAATAGTTTGTGAGGATAGCAACTCAAATCAAGCCTCCTTTTCCTTCATCAGTCTTAGTGTGTGGATGTTTGAGAGTCTGATTTGTGATATGAGTGCTTAAACCTGTGTGATCTTTATATGCTTGACCCAAACTCTTGTGCAGCCTTGTAAAGATTGTATGATAAGTTGGATTAGGTATCGTATAAATATCTCCCAGCAATTAACTCCCTCTTCCCCAAAATTTTTCTCTCCGCTTCGACAAAAACAGGCTGGGGGTATGTTCCTGAGAAAGTGAAGAAGGCCCAGCGGAAAATCCATTTGTATCCCTTGACACCGACGCATGGAATATTCTTTTACGAGAAGCACAGGTAAGGGTCCTAACATTTCACAAGTTCGCAGGGACCACCAAGAAGCAGGAATATTTTCAAAAAAGAAAAGTGAATAAATTCATTGGTACAAATAAAAAAAAGAATAAAAACGATATCCTCTCAAGTGTGTTTTATTGCATTCTTGTCTTTTTCTATACAAGCGTATGCAGTAAAAAGTTTGAGTTTGGGTTTAAAGGAGAACCGTCGAGTTGGTTCAACCGACAAATAAAAGATTAATATCTCTGAACATGCAATGCCAAATGTTTCTTTTGTTCGTTGTGTCAATTTTTGTTGTCTAGTCTTAGTCTTTATTTTTTTAATGTTTTGAGTACCCCTTCACATTAGATGCCTTGCAGGTTTAATTGGGTTTGAAATATAAGAATCACAAGTTATTAAAATGAGATGAAGACATATTATTGTGTTTTGTCATTTGTTGCTTGTCTCTCAATTATCTATATTGTCGTTGAGCAAGTAGGCAACTGGTGCAAAGGCAAGAAGGGAGGTTTTTTCCAATCTTATTTTATATTTTATAAGCTGTTTTCTAGAGGATTTTCATGATTAAATTCTAATGTTACAGTGTAGTTTGCTTTGATTTATTCAAATGATCAATTTGAAAAAAACATTGAAGAACTATGAAGCAATGAGTACTCATAGTGTGCAAAATAGCACATCTTCTAAAACCAAATTGTTATCGATTATCAAAAGTAGCAGTATTATACTCTTAGAAGAACAGAGAAGAAAAAGAAGTAAAAAGAAGGCAGAAGAACTGAAACTAAAAGCAAAAAGAAGAAGAATGGAGAGGAAGATGTTACCCAAGAAGACTGAACGACCAAGAGAATTGAAGAAAGAAGATGAACAGGAGAAAGAAGAAAAGAAGGAGAAAAGAAGACAAAAACGGGAAGATAAGAACTCTAAGAAGAAGAGATATACAGTGTATATAATTCAATATCCATTTTACCCTTGTCCTAATTGGTTGTTACAACCAACTCTAGTACTCTACCTTCCTATTAAAGTCACTTATGAAGGTTGTCATAATAATTAATTAGTCTGCTTATTCCAAACAAGCAAATTCACTTTTAGCCTTGTAGTAAATGAAATCTTGTTATGCAATTTGTTTGGAATGGTAGAATAACTTCATAACATTAAGTCATTAACCAAATAAGGCAAGAATTTGATGAAAAAGTTTCATTTGCTTAATCTTTTTACTTTATATCTAGAATGAATAAGTACAGTATTTGATTGATGTTTAGGTCAATATTTAGGTCGTATAATTTATTTGCTCCGTATTAATAAAGTATCACTTTTGTTTTGTGATTTGTTAAAGTTTTGTTTTTTCCACAATGTGTCAAATGTGTAAAGGTACTTTCAGACATGATGAAATGAAACCACCGCCAAAAAAAAAAAAAAAAAAAAAAAGGCAGGTGAAAATTAATTGCGATCAGTCGAGTGCACTCAAATTTAAATATTGAAGACACTATTTTAGAGAGTATGCATGGTGGCTACTGCGTTGTGCATTTCTTTTTAAACCATCAAAATATTGGCTTTTGCTTTTTCACTTTATGATACAAAAAAACTTGCTAAGTTTTGCCGCCATAGTCTTTAGGCGGTTTACAAAGTCTTGTCTGAATGGAGCTGAAAGGGATGGTCGTGTATCACGGTAATGTTGAAATGGTTCTATGTAGGAAATATATTGGATTGGTAAAAATAGTTTGTGAAGGCTCATTTTCGTAAATCGCTGTGTGTCTTGCAATTTTTATACATAGACTGATTTATATCATTATCATTGGTATGGGGCCATCCCTACAAGAAGAAAATAAGTTCTGTTGGTTTCATTTATTTTCTTAAAAGAGGATTAATGGAATTGTTTACTTGTGCCTTCTGTCAAGAGCTTCAACCTTGGAATAGTCAGAGAGGAGAGTATGATCTGACCTCAACACTTTCTTTTTCTTTTCATAATCCCTTGCCCTTTACCTTTGACCCTGCCTTCCTCTCTCTCTCTCTCTCTCTCTCTCTCTTTCTCATTTCTTCCCTCTTTGAGGAGCTTTCTTTCCATTTTATTTTTCTTTTCTCCTTAGTAGTATGATAATAATCCCTATCACCTAAATACCGTACACTGATCTTATTTCTTTATCCCTCCCTCATCTCTCTTTTTGTTCTGTTTACCTCTCCTTTCTCTTTTCATCTCTTTATCTCACTCCTCCCATCTCAGTCTTGCCTATTTCTTTATTTCCCTCTTTAAACTGTTTTCTCTCTACCCTGTCCTTCTGGGTGTCTTTTCACTTCTCTCTCTCTCTCTCTCCTCCCTCTATTCTCTTTCTTTCTCTCTCTCCCTCCCTCCATCCCCCTCTCTCTCTCTCTCTCTCTCTCTTTCTCTCTCTCTATTTATATCTCTCTATTTCTATCTCTCTCTCTATTTCTATCTATCTCTCTCTGATATATGCCAAGAAAAGTGCTTGACAGAAGTGTACAATATTTGTAATGAAATTACCCCCAAATTAATCTTCTCTTGAAAGATGAAATACATGTATGTCAACAATCCAACGTTCCCTTTTCCCCACTCTCTATCTCACGATGTCTCACTTAGAACCAACCTGTGGAGAAAGCCAGGACTCTTTACGAGCTTGTGGTTACGACGTTTGCAACTCAGCAAACTCAGGACGCTACTGGAAAAGCTACGTGGAGCAAGAGGTCAATACCCTTTTTTTTTGAAGGAGCAATTCCCTATGAAATAAAATATAATACAAGCTTCAAACAATAATTTCATAACATTAATTCAAGGCCCCATAACACAGATGTTTGCGATCAATTGCAAATTCAAAAACAACATTCTGATTGGTTGATAGTCGACTTGTTGCACAATGGCGGCTCCAGGGTGGGAGCACGGGGGGCCCGGGCTCCCACCTCTGCCCCCCCCCCCAAAAGTGTTACTGGTAAACAAAATTTTTACCTTTTTTTTTTGTTGCTCAAGGGGGGGGGGAGGGGGAATTGAGTAAAAAGAAAATTGTGCTCACTACCACCCTTTAAATTTCCCCTCTCCCCCCTCTCCCCCCCCCCCCCCTGCTAATATTTTCTCATGAATTGGGGTTCCTTCCCTCGCCGCTGGCTAGATCCGCCCCTGACGGACCTTTGTGTTATGGGGCACCGAAGTAAAAAAATTGTTTGTCAAAACAGGCTCTCTGAGAACATAGGGTATACAGGGAAAAATTCTGGAAAATGTTTGTGCATATTTCCCACCAACCCTCTCCCACAATGAAAAAATTCTTCGTACAAAAAAATAATTTGAAGACCTTCCCTTTCTTAGTCCTTAAATGTATACAATCCAATGGTCCCTGTTTTCAGTTCAGTTCTACACTACCGTTACAATTCAATCTAATGCAAAATACAACCATACAAACTTGAAGTAATTGACTAATGTACAAGATAATCAATGACAACAAATTGAAATAACAGTTAACCCTGCAGAATCTGCTGGGACTGCAAAAAAATATACAAATATACACTGTCGTGAGAGTTTCTGGTTAAAACTATGCGCAGGAGGTGACTCCAATAGTACTGTTTGCTGAGGGGCATAGCCCCGAAGCAATTGGTACTTTTGGAGTCACCGAGGCCCATAGTTTTAACCAGTACCTCGAAAGAAGGCATGGTATATTTGTTTTATATCCTGCATCAAAATTTGTCTTTAAAAAAAAAGTTAAAAAAATAAACATTTATTATTATTTTTTTTGAATTCTTCCAACTCTAGTACTTTTACTCCCAAATACTGGTAGTGCTTTTTATAGAGCAACCTTACGATAGTTGAAATATTTCTGGTCACATGACAAGCTCTCAACCAATCAAAAACCAATATTTTTTGATGCAGGATATAATTTGACTTGAATTAAATTCGACTGTGTATTGGAAAATATATTTATTCTTCTCCCTGGTCAGAACCATCATTTAATAATAAGTACAAAATAAACATGTTAAACAGTCTACATATTTGTTTCTGCACAAAAACACCTTTATCCTGGTCTAACTTCATGGAACCACTTTGCCATCAATTTCTACTTGTAGATGAGGAGCAAGAACTACGAGAGAGTTGAAAAGGTATGATGATCAAAAGTGCTTAATTCTTTAAAAAAAATATGCTCCTGCTAGCATGCTCAGACATTTTAATTGCAATGTGTGTATTTATCTTCATGTCATAGCCATTATGTATATTTTGTCATGAAGATTTGATGTGTACTATGAGTAAAGAGACATGTTGGTTTGTTAGAAATAGAATGAAACTGCAATGTGGATTGCATCTAGTTTAGACTAAATGACAATTCAAGAGCCAGAGATTTATTGGAGAGAGTAAGAGAGAAAGAGAAGAGAAAATTGTTATTTATTGACAGAGCACGGTTCATTGCATGGTAGCGAATGCTGTGAGAAGCAAGTGTGTTTTTTTTTTGGTGGGACTTGTCAAAAGATAATGTTCACCCCCAAAAAGAAATTATTGGCTCACTATATTTTTTCAATCCACCATGGCACAAACACTTGTCTCCTACCCCAGCTGTTTCAACGATGTCTGATGAAAGTGCTCAACATTGACCTATGGAAGTGCTACCTAGCCTACGTCAAGGAGACTAAGGGAGTCTATCGTCATACAGAGAGAAGATGGCCCAGCGTATGACTTTGCCTTGGATAAGATGGGAATGGACATCTTTTCGTATCCCATCTGGAACGACTACATCAACTTCTTGAAGGGAGTGTAAGTTGAATAGGATAGGTGTACATAGCTATTTTACAGTGGTTTTGCCATGATGTGGCTATAAAGCCCCCCCCCCCCCCCCCCCCCCCCCCCCCCCCGAACAAAATAAAATCTAAGCCGGGATATCTTCTCTTCCTATTTGGAAAAACTCCCATCAATTTCTGTTATGGAGTGTAGATTAAAGACGTCTAGCCATTGGATGGCGGAGACTATACCCTTGCCCCCCCCCCCCCCACTCCCCGAATGAAAGAGTAGAAAACTTCTCCCCAAAGGAAAAGACCCTATTTTTGAGGGCATTTTCTGTCGCTAATTCTAATGAGTTTTGTATGTGTGTGTACCAGTGGACAAACATTACCCATTGGTCATATTACCCATTTTCAGAACTTGAATTTACTCCAACCCTTTCCCCCAAAAAAGTCTGTAGGACACATCACCTCGGACCAATGAAATTAAAAAAGGGCTTAAAAATTAGTTGAAATTATTTATTGAGAAGATAATGTATGGACATTGTAAAAGACACCGATTGAAAACTTGACTTGTGAAGTTTGAGTCTTTATACTTTTTGGAAACTCGATTTTGATTGAAAAGGTTTTATTATGATTGCACTTCGCAGCCAAATGTCTGAATTATGTACAATATACATTGGCAATAGTACATACAAATGTGGTTTTAAAAAACGGATCAACTTTGAAAAGAACAAGATGCTGTTTGCACAAAGTATAATATATATATAACAAAAATTCATGACCAACATGACCAAGGCAATAACATACAAAAGGTAAGAGACAGAGAAAAAGGGCAAATGAGATACAAGTTATATTATAAGTTGTGAGGTGTCACAAGAGTGATGACGGTGAAAGAGTTTTTACCGATTGAAATCAGATGTGTTCACCCTCGCCTTTTAATCTTTATTAGTTAAATTCCTCCATTACTTGTTCCTCCAACAGTGAAGCAGTAGGTTCATACGCTGAGAACCAGAGGATCACTGCCGTGAGGCGTGTGTTCCAACGGGGTATCGTCAATCCAATGTCAAACATCGAGGCTCTGTGGAAAGACTACAACAACTATGAAAATGTAAGCATGATGATGATATTGATTCAATCTTAATGACTACCGTGTTGTTGGAAATAATCTTGAAAGTGCTTTCGGTCCTTAATGTCGAATGTAGAGTACTTACACAAGGAAAGTGTGTTTATTTTGATGCAGTGCTAATGATTTATTTTCTCTCCCCCCCCCCCCCTTTTTTTATACAGGGTATCAATATTATGATAGCCAAGAAGATGATTGAAGATAGGAGCAGAGATTACATGAATGCCAGGAGGGTTGCCAAGGTAAGAAACTCGAGTGATTACGCAAATATTTCATCTGGGGGGTGTTTCATCAACATTGTCCACCGACAACTGTCAGCACTGACTAAATTTAACCAATCAGAGGCCTGGAAAATAGTCGGTGACAATAGAATTGTCGGTGAAAATGATATTAGTCGGTGAAAACCACCGACTAATTGTTTCATGAAACAATTAGTCCCTGTTTTTATGAATAACTAATTTTCCAATGCTCCATATTGCATGATAAGAATGAGCAAAGTTAAATGTATGAAAAGGAATGAGAACCCCCCCCCCCCCCCTCCCCTTCAAACTTTGTGGCAACGGCAACAACAAGATGTGAGTTTAAGATTCTAGCGAAAGCTTCATTCCCAATAGGAATTGCACTTGACTCCAACAATCTCTTTGGGGGCCTTAATGTTTTACAGCCCCCCCCCCCCCAAAAAAAAAAAAAAAATTAAAAAAAATAAATCAAAATATGAAGACAGATTCCCATGTTCTGATCAGACTTGTAATGTTGTTCTTCATAAGATAGTTCCTTTGTTATAACACTTTCTTTTCAAAATCTTGAAATCCTTTTGTTTTGTATACTTTATTTTCATTAAAAATACTTTCCCAATTTCTCTGATCTACAGGAGTACGAAGCCATCACCAAGGGTCTCAACAGGAACAACCCCTCGGTCCCTCCGACGGGTACAGCGGAAGAGGCCAGGCAGATTGAACTCTGGAAGAAGTACGTCAACTGGGAGAAACAGAACCCTCTCAGGACGGAGGATCAGATGCTCATCACCAAGAGAGGTTGGTGGTTTTGTACTGTTCTTACTTCTACTTTTATCACTTGTTTTATTTTGTATTCTCCTGTTTCTTCTTAATAATATTCTGCTTTTCATATAATGCCCAATACATCTATACAACAATGTTTCTAAGCGGTTTACAGATATATTATTACCCGGTCATCGGATTCAGGCTCACCTGCACACAATGTATGCACATTCTCCACTCCCTGAGGAGCATTTCAGCCAGTCGCCATTTTACCAGCGCACACTTGCTCATACAACCACATTAACTTTTGCTTTGATCATTTATGCTTTGATCATTTTTCTCTACCTTTTTTTTTCTTTGCTAAATGAGGGAAATGTTGAGTTCTGATAATATATGATTTAAAATCAGTTGTTACATAATCTAATAATATTTACATTAAATTTTGAAAAATTGAAATACCTATCTGCAAAATAATTTTGATAGAGAATTATAGTACTCACTACTGTAGCTATGAAATAAGCAGCACTTTAAGGATGAGAAAAATGAGTGGGTTGTGACAGTCGTCCAGGTATAGATAGATTATACATAGCCTCATATGTGCAAAATGTGAATTTCGCTCTTCATTGAATGCGATACCTACATGTATGTAGCAACTTTCTGTTTGTTTGTGTTTTAATGGTCTAAACAACTCATTGTATCAAAAACAAATACTTTACTGAAGTTTCTATTAGAATTAAAACATTACCTTAACTTTCAAATTGCTTTTAAAGAATTCAACTGCATGTTCAATGCTTTTTTTATGAAAAAAATTATTAATATTTTATCTTTAGTAAATTTTCACTTTTCTTGTTTTCCTTTTTTCAGTGATGTTTGCCTTTGAGCAGTGTCTGTTGTGTCTTGGCCATCACCCCGATGTCTGGTATGAGTTTGCTCTCTATCTGGAGAGCGCTAGCAGAATCTTCACAGAGAAGGGGGTAAGTGTTTCTCAATATTTCCTCAAAGTAATTTTAAGGTTGATTGATTGGGGTTTTCTATTCCAAATTGGCAGCTGATAATCTTTATAAGTCAGACAAGAAAATACATTATTTGAAATTGAAATATTTCAGACTGACTACTTCAGTAAGTACTTGCTTCACCAGTTTATAAGAGAAATAAGTAATTTTTGTTATTTATTGAAAAAATTGCCTATTTGAATTTTTTTTTCTTTCTGTAAATGATTTGGTTATATGAAAGAAGGACAGGCTAAGCTGTTGAAAATTTTATATTCTCAATGATATTTGTTGTCTCTATTGTGGATTTAGACCTGTTTCCCCTGTTACAATTTGATCTGAGGAATATCTGATACGTTTGTCAAAACTGTTTTGTAAAGTTTTTCCTGTGAAAGTTTGCTTCAAGCTCTTCAAAGTTCTGTAGTTGATCACACAGGTTTCAAATGAAAGCAAGTGTTCATGGCAGTGCATGGAAAAAGTACTGAAACATCTTGACTTCTTTGACCAGGGGGGTGTTTCACAAAGATCCTAAGTTGAACTTATCTCTAAGTTGGACTTAAATATTATGGAAAGCCATTAGCATCTTTGAAAATATTTTGTAAAAGTTATTTTTGAAAGGCATAAAATGTTGATTCAAATCATTCATATTTTCTATCATCAAGGAGACTTCATGTTCTGGATGTGGAATTCATAAAAAGTCTAAAATACTTGAATTTCTGCTTTTGAATATATTTTATTTTAAGGCTCCAATGGCTGTCCATAATTTTTAAGTCCAACTTAGTGTTAAGTTCTACTTAGGATCTTTGTGAAACACCCCCCAGGATTGATTAGACCCTCCCTCTGCGTGTTCACTGGCAGGTGGTTGTCTCATCAAATAAGCTCTCAATTAACATAAGAAAAAGGGGATCATAGGGGGCTGCTTAGGCATTGTTTGCTGTATAGAGGGCGCAAGTAGCTACAAGTAGTGCAGTGGGGCTTTAACATGTTCTTGATATATAATTTTTATTTTTCAGGACATGAACAGTGGTAAGGTGTACAGTGATGAAGCAGCAGCGGTCTACGAGAGAGCCATCTCCACCATCATGAAGAAGAACTACCTCACTTACTTTGCGTATGCTGATTTTGAAGAGGTAAGTAACGACTCTTTGGAGGAACGGTAGAACACCCCACCACACAGGTGACCTAACCCTTACACTAGGGCATAACCCTAACTCTAACCCTCACCCCTAACCATAACCCTTAATACTAACCCTTAATCCTTAGCTTCACCCAACCATATCCAAAAAGCATTTTGTGATGTACTGATACTTGTTGGATAATTCATAGTCAAACCTATGAATCTGTTAATCAAAGCGACCCTCCCCCAACCAGGGGAGGAAAACTAGCAATTTTGCTGTATAACTCTACAACTCTACAATAATTATGTGACTATCCTGTAGTAGCAGGCACATAACTATCAGAATTGATAGCCCATTGAAAATTGTGAAAATATTTTATCAAAGTCATTAAGTTGTATTTGAAAATAAAAAAAAGTTTCTTTCTCTCTTTCAAACATGATCCTGTTGCCAATTTAATGATTTAATTCTTGTTTTGAAATCACAGGGAAGGATGAAGTACGAAAAAGTTCACAACATCTACTCAAGGATGCTGGCTCACGAAGATGTTGACCCAACTCTGGTATATATACTTGATTCAATAATATAACAAATTGTGTTTGTGTGTGTGTTTACCTGGCTTTTGAGAAATGTCAAATATGTTGCATGGGATTCATTGTCTTTGGAAGAACCAACAGAAATACTGTATTACAGAAATATTGTAGTCCCATTTAAAAAAAAAAGCACTTGAAACACCTAAGATTTTTTTTTGCACACAAGTAAATTTGAAAAATCCAAGAAACTCTTTAGGCTGTTTTTCTTCTCCTGTTGTAAAGTCTCAACTGTTCCCTCCTATTTGTCTTTATGTGTGATCCAGGTTTATGTGCAGTACATGAAGTTTGCCCGTCGAGCTGAAGGCATCAAGGCCGCCAGGACGGTGTTCAAGAAAGGCAGGGAGGACCCGAGGAGCAAGTACCATGTCTACGTAGCGGCGGCACTCATGGAGTACTACTGCAGCAAGGTATGTCGACAGAAACCTATTCACTTACACCCAAAGATTCGCTAGTCTTGTAGGTTACTAGTATTCATATGATCTGAAGTCTCATCGGATAAGCTCTAACTTTACTTGATGCGAAAGGCCGTCAATTACATGGGTTATCATGATTCATGACATTAAATCAATTATCTAACTTTTGTTGGTGAATATTTCGTTCATGTGAGGCTCACAAGTGTGTCTTGATAATGGCTTCTTACCTGATCCATTTAATTTTATGAGCGGTCAATATTTTTCTTTAGCGCGTTGTTTTGTTGGCTTTTTTAATTTAAGTTCGAGGGCAATACCATTTAAAAATTGCCTTGCTCAGATGTCTGATATGGTTAATAATACTCCATATCACAGACACTTATAATGTGTCAGGCCATGCATCTCAGATTTAACATTGTTAAATGTCTAACCGATGCCTTTAAGAATCAAAATACCTGTCCTGATCCCACCTCACACTCTCCCATTCTTTCTTTCAATCAGGATTCTCAAGTAGCATTCAAGATCTTTGAGCTCGGTCTCAAGAAGTACGGCAATGTCCCTGAGTACATCTTAGCCTACGTGGACTACCTCTCTCATCTCAATGGTAAGTATGGTCCCTCGGAGTGGACCTAAAGCCGTCAGTCCTCTGGTTGCTTACTAACAAGCATTTATGTTTTCTTAGCAGTCAGGTAAACAAAAATTACCACACCTTTTAGTATGGTCAACCGTTTGAACTTCTTTTCCACAGTGATAGATTCATTACAGAAATATTACAGAAATCCGCTTACGGACGCTGTTTCCAATAGACGGCCGATTTGTTTCTATTTGACTTGCCAGTCTGTCACTTCAAGTAGGATATTTAGCATGCCTGCAGTAAAAACCTGTAAGAATGTTGAAATTAGTCTTGAAACTTAAGAGCCTTCTGTATAAAAGAAGCAATTTAAATATATATATGGTATTCAGCAATCTTGTTTTATTACTCACTATTCCAAGGTTTATTGGCTTTCTGTCTTTAATAAAGAAAATATGAAGGACATTTTGAGCTATGTAGGATGTACATTGTAACTATTTTCATCAACATCCAGTATACCAATATATTTGGTTTAATTATTTAAAGATACAAGTTAGGTTTCCTCCAATATTTTCTCTCCTCTCTATGACAGAACTGCCAACTAGTACAGATTTCCTGTAATTTCCCCTAATAATCATTACGGAATTACAGAATGTTGTCTAAAATTATGGATATTACAATTAAAAAAAATAAAAATGTTGTTGTTGCGTAAATATGATTTATCGTAGCGATTGCTGGGCAGTATGGCGGTATTCTCGTAATAGAAGCCAATTTTTCATGGAAAACTGATGTGTTGTCATGACCTAATAATCAATATTTAGCAACTTTGTGTGAGTAAAATCACCAAAATTTCAAACAATCATGTGCGCATGCATCCGCGCAGTGTTGTCATGCCCTTTTTATGCCTCCGCTACAAAGTAGCCGGAGGCATTATGTTTTTGGGTTGTCCGTCCGTCCGTACGTCCGTCCGTACGTACGTCCGTACGTCCCGTTCTCGTGATCGCGTTATCTCAAGAACCGATTGGTTGATTCCCGCCAAACTTGGGTCATGTATGTATCTCACAGAGCCAATGAACTGATTAGATTTTGGGGTCACGAGATCCAAGGTCAAAGGTCACAGGGCTCATTATTTATGCGAAAATGGCTCGTGATCGCGTTATCTCAAGAACCGATTTATGGATTCCTGCCAAACTTAAGTCATGTATGTATCTCACAGAGCCAATGAACTGATTAGATTTTGGGGTCACGAGATCCAAGGTCAAAGGTCACAGGGCTCATTATGTATGCGAAAATGGCTCGTGATCGCGTTATCTCAAGAACTGATTGATGGATTCCTGCCAAACTTAAGTCATGGATGTATCTTGCAGAGCCAATGAACTGATTAGATTTTGGGGTCACAAGGTCGAAGGTCAAAGGTCACAGGGCTCATTATGTATGCAAAATAGCTTGTGATCGCATTATCTCAAGAACCGATTGATGGATTCCTGCCAAACTCAGGTCATGTATGTATCTTGCAGAGCCAATGAAATGATTCGATTTTGGGGTCACCAGGTCAAAGGTCACAGGGGTCTTTATGTATCCAACAATAGCTTGTGATCGCATTATCATGAGATCAAATAGACAGATTACTATCAAACTCAAGTCATGTATGTATCTTGCAGAGCCAATGAACTGATTAGATTTTGGGGTCACCAGGTCGAAGGTCAAAGGTCACATGGCTCATTATGTATGCCAAAAATAGCTTGTGCATGCATTATCATTAAAACCCACAGATGGATTACAATCAAACTTGAATTTAAAAATTGTTTCTGTTTTGGTTTGTAAAATTGCTCTATGGCGGAGGCATCATTTTTGACTGCGCGCAGTCAAAGTTCCATCTAGTTTTTTTTAGATTCATAGCGCCGCTTAGGAAGTTGCTGATTTCGAGCCTTGTGATTACTGATTTTCTGTTCTGGAGGTTGGCAGCTCTGCTATGAATGTCTTTCTCTCTTTAATTTTCAGAGGATAATAACACAAGGGTTCTGTTTGAGAGAGTTCTCACATCAGGGAGCCTCCCACAAGAACAGTCTGGGTAAGTCATCACAAACGTAACAAAATGCACAATTTGAGGTGCCATGAGCTGAACAGTCAACCAAATCATAGCCAAGAAAAGAGAACTATTTCAATCATGTGTATGTGTCCTCCTAGAAAAAAGCGAAGAACTGTTTTAGTTGGAATACAGGATTCACCAAAAGATTTTTCGCTTTTCATACAGGGAATCATTTAGACCTTTTCTCTGTTCTCTTGGTAGTTTTTGTCATCTTGCATATTCATAGCTGTCTTATTTTTTTTTCTCCAAAATGCGATGAAAAAGTAAATGTCTTTTATTTTTATGCTTCATAGTTGATTGTAGACCAAGAGGGAGACCCAGAATCAACTGGGAAGAGAATGTCAAGAACTTGAGTGGACTAAAACTGCAAGAGTGCAACAGAATAGCAGAAGATAGAGTGAAATGGAGAGATGTTGCAATCAACCTCCGAACCGGGAGAAGATACTTAGATAGATAGAATTGGTTGAGTCAACACAGGAGTTAATAAAAACATGCAGATAGTACAATTGTCAAGATCTGTTGGTCGTTCGTAGTTCTCATGTTTTGTTTTGATTGTCTGTTTCTTTACAGAGAGACATGGCTACGATTTGAAGACTTCGAGTCAACGTGCGGAGATCTTGCCAGTATCATCAAGGTTGAGAAGAGGAGACAGACGATCTTCAAGACTGAGTACAAAGATCGTGAGACTAGTCTCTTAGTGGACAGATATAGGTACCTAGATCTCTTCCCATGCAACCCTTCTGAACTCAAAGCTCTCGGCTATAAGGTAAACAGACACAGTGGATAGCTCAGGCTTCCTCTTCCTCTTCCTCTTCCTCTTCCTCTTCCTCTTCCTCTTCCTCTTCCTCTCCCTCTCCCTCTCCCTCCCCCTCCTCCTCCTCCTCCTCCTCCTCCCCCTCCCCCTCTCACTCCCCCTCCACTCCCCCTCCCCTCCCACTCCCCCTCCCCCTCCCCCTCCCCCTCTCCCTCTCCCTCCCCCTACTCCTCCTCCTCCTTCTCTTTCTTTCTCCTCTTTCTTCCTCCTCTTTCTTCTTCTCCTCCTCCTCCTCCTCCTCCTCCTCCTCCTCCTCCTCCTCCTCCTCCTCCTCCTCCTCCTCCCTGTTCTTCTTTATCATCATTTTGTCAACGGTTATATCTTGTTCTGTAAAGATTTACACATTAAGGATAAAGAAATAAAGGTTTTCCCAAACCAAAAACCATGGGTCAGGAAGAATTTGAAGGATTTGTTTGTGCAAAGAAACAGAGCTTTCTCACACCAGAATGATGATGAACTCAGGGACATTAATCTTAGCATTCAGAAAGAAATTGTTGATGCGAAAGGAAAATATAGAGAACAATTAGAGAGTAAATTCAGATCTAATAATCCACGTGAAGGTTGGAAGTGTATGCAAACGATGACAGGTTATAAAAAGAAGCAGAAATCTCCACCAGTGTCAGAATCTAGCTCTGTTTATGATACAGCCAATGAATTTAATACGTTTTATGCAAGATTTGATGACAAATGTTTTGATGCCGAAAGTAATAGGATTGTAAATACTTTGAAACAGTTCAATGATACACCCACTGTATGTCAGTACAATGATGTTGTCAGGTACTTCAAAAAGACTAATCCAAGAAAATCTATGGGACCGGACAGTATATGTGGGAAAGTACTCAAAACATGTGCCTGGCAATTAGCCACCCCTTTTGTCACTCTTTTCCAAGAATCTCTGAACCAAAACCATGTCCCATTGTGCTGGAAATCATCGACAATAATACCAGCAGCCAAAACACTCCAAGCATCTGAACCCAATGACTATCGGCCAATATCCCTCACCTCATTGGTGATGAAATGTTTTGAACGCATTATTCTTCAGAAGCACATTCTCCCACAGATACTGCCTGAAATAGATCCTCTACAATTTGCCTACCAACTACGCAAATCTGTTAATGATGCTGTGTTATTGTTAATTCACTTGGTTGCACAGCATATTGACACATTGGGTCGTTATGTTCGTACAACATTCGTCGATTTTTCATCGGCTTTCAACACAATACAGCCCCATCTCTTGATGAATAAGCTTACCGCTATGAATGTAAAACCCTCTCTAATACTCTGGTTTCATGATTTTCTAACAGGCAGAATTCAAAGGGTAAAATTGCATAATGTTCTGTCTGATTACGTTACTACGAGTACAGGTTCCCCCCAGGGTTGTGTGCTGTCAGCACCATTATTTATCATGTATACAAACGATTGTATCTCGTCAAATGATAATGTCTCAGTTGTCAAATATGCTGATGACACAGCTATCATTGGCATGATCAAAGGCAACGATGAACGCCAATATCGGGAGGAGCTATTCTTGTTTGAGAATTGGTGTGAAGAAAATTTCTTGGTACTAAACATAGCTAAAACGAAAGAGATGACTTTCGATTTTCGTACAAACAAAGGTCAAGCAAATCCAATCATGCTTAAAGGAGAGGATATACAGAGTGTCAAGAGTTTTAAGTACCTTGGTACAATAATTGATAACGAACTCTCATGGAAAGACCAATGCCAATCTCTGTATGCAAAGGCTCAACAACGAATGTACTTCCTACGAAAACTGAATTCGTTCCATGTAGACAGAACCATTCTGATGTTATTCTACAAGTCAGTAATAGAAAGTGTAATGCTTTTTAGTTGTGCGGTTTGGTACGGTGGGTGCAGAAAGGATAACCTTAAGAAACTGCAGAGAATATCCAATCATGCTAGCAAGATGACTGGCGAAGTGACAGATCTGAAACAGGAATGCGTGTGTACAATACTGAAACAGGTATCCCAGATTTTGGAAAATGCTAACCACCCCCTTCATCACTGCTATACCCTAATGCGATCGGGGAAGCGGTACAGATCAATGAAGGCTCGAACCTCACGATTCCTTAATTCCTTTGTCCCGCTTTCCATTCGTAAATACAATGAACAACTCCAGTCAATTTGAATAAGCCTGTATCTTGCCACTTCGCTAGTCATCAATTTGCATTGTACCCTTTCCTTTCCTTTCCTTTTCAACCGAATGTACCAGTATCACGAGCAAATAAATAATTAATACCCTATGATGCCATATGTTATTCCAAGTTGTAGTTATATACCGTTTAATTTATGAAGGAAAGAAAGAAGAAAGGATTCAGCTATAAAACCGTGACAAAGAATGATACATGCAATAAATACTGTTGATGATGATGATAATAATAATAATAATAATAATAGTAACAATAATAATTATGATAACGATAATAATGATGATGATAATAATGACAACAATAATAATAATAAAATATAACAACAATACTACTTCCAAATTCTACGCAATCGTACATTTTCAATAGTGTTGGAAGTCCTTTTATTTATCTATTTTACTTTTCTTATATAATTCCACTATGTAAAAACGACTTAATGTTTTCATATGAATTTGTCATTGTACATGTTTCCATATGAATTTGTCATTGTACATGTTTCCATATGAATTTGTAATTTGTCATTGTACATTTGCTACTGTATATTATCTATTCGCGTATATTATTTTCTATTGTATATTGTTCATGTGCCTATGTAACGCCAACAAATGAATTTCCAAATGGACCAATAAAATTAATCTGAATCTGAATCTCTGAATGAATTATCTTTCCCTTTTTCATTTCAGTTTCAGAAATAAATACAAAAGTTGTTCATGTGAACCAAATCCGGTCCTTGTCAAAACAAAAACAAATCTGGAAAATTGGCCATTCTTGAACATTCCTCTTGAAAATGTTGTAAAAAGCTACATCTTTCTTGAGGCTCTGTTTAGATTCACTATACAAAAAAAAAAAAATTCAATGCATAAAATCCTGACATGTCTTTCTATCTGCAAAAGAGGTTTGTTCTTTTTTGAAAAGAAGAAAAAGAAGAAATCAAACGAAGAAAAAGGAGATCTAGAAGTAGAGGAGAAGGATTAGGAGCAACAAGAGATTTAATTAGAGGGAGAAGAAAAAGAAGAATATCATTAATATGTTGATACATTGATTGTAAATTATTTGATTTCCTTGAGATAGCAGGAGAAAGAGCATACAAGAAGAAATTGTTGTTATTGTTAATTTAGATTTCTGTTATCATTTTCATCATATTTTGTTTTGTGTTTTTAGGATCTTAGGCAATCGAACAGGGCCCTCCAAATCTTGATTAATCCCGTCCACACGGAACATAGTCAGGGAACAGAGGAAGGCGCCGAGGCTGCAGGGGAGAGCAAGCAAGAAGAGATTTGTAGACCTAGTCTGGACCAGATGCTACCATTCAGGCCCCGGGTCGCACCAAGTAAGAATCCTATCCAGGGATGCCAGTTTTCAGGCCCTAGCAAGTTATTTTCAGACGTTAGTTTAGGCTTTTTGTGAACATAATAGCTCATTCTAGGTGATTTTGAGGCCCTTTGATCAATTCTAACTGGCATCCCTGCTTATCTTCATATGGGTGATTCTACTGTACTAGGCTTATGTTGAGTGAAAGTTGTGCTTGTAGATAAATTGGGCAAAAAGAATTTCCATTTTCGGTTTAACTTAATAAAATTTGGAGTGGACTTTAAAAGATTATTGTTATTAATGATAATGACAATGACAAATTTTTGATAAAATGATAAAGAAGACAAATTTTATATTATGCATAATGCTCTCAACCACCATATATACATTACCTCTAACCCCTCTGTTTGTTTACAGTGCCTGGCTCGCACCCCGTCCCTGGAGGGGAATTCCCCCTGCCGCTGTCTGCCTCTATGGTCCTGACCAAGCTACCCCCTCCTCAGAGCTTTCAGGGTCCCTTCGTGAAGGTCGACGACCTCATGAGGTTAATAGCCGAATGCAGAATACCTGAGCGTAAGTATCACCGTAAAAACTGGTTGGATATTATTTCATGCCACTAAATATTAAACCAGGGGGCGTGTTTCACAAAGATCCTAAGTTGGACTTCACAGTTACGGAAAGCTGTTAGCATCTTTAAAAATATTTTGTAAAAGTTATCTTAAAGGCATAAAATGTGTTTTCAAATCATTCTTATTTTCTCTTATCTATGAGATTTTATGTCTTGATGTGGAATTTATGAAAAGTCTAAAATACTTCAATTTTTGCCTTTTAATATGCTTTATTTTAAAGCTACAAATGGCTCTCCATTATTTTAAGTCCAACCTAAGAGTTAAATTTGACTTAGGATCTTTGTGAAACACCCCCCAGAACTGAACCTAAACTCCATTTTTAGAATTTGTGAAAGATATGTGCAGCTGGAATGACGTTTAAAATTTGGCAACATGTCATGACGCAAAAGTGCAAAAGTTTCTGGTTTTACATGAGTTAGTCTGACTAGTTTATGGGAAACATGAAAGTCCTGATGAGTCGAGGTTGTCTGAACCTACAAATTGTCAACAGAATTAGGTTCATTGTACGATTAACAGAGCTCTAACATGGATAGACTCGCTTTGTTTTTGTGATTCCAAATATCCTTATTTTAGGAACACCCTAATCCATGAAAGTTTTCTCTATCCTACAATTTTTAAATTTTTTTTTTAAAAATATTTTTTTATTGAAAATAAAACTCAACGACATAACATATTTACAATAATAATATATCAATAAAGTAAATGGATATATACAGAACACGGTACAACACAGGACAACGCAACACAAAACAGCACAACACAAATGCCTCACTCTAGTCAGTTACATGTTAGGAATTTTCTTGGTTTCTTTTGCTTCTCAGTATCCCAGGAGTCTGTACCTATCCCCAACGGCATGGACCAGGACGATAGCCAGGGCGAGACGGACCTGAAGCGCAAACGAGGCGGCGGCACGGGCACGGCTAGCAAGCAAGCCGACGAGGACTCCGATGACGAGGATGCATCCCATCATGCACCACGCCATGATATCTACCGCAGCAGGCAGCAGAAGAGAGTCAAATGAGTTCCTATTGTTAAGGGGTTTGTTTGACTGCAGTAGCATGATCATGCCTCAATGCAAAACTCATCTCCTGTCTGATTGGTCAGTTCCTACTGATCATGCTTTCATGTCATGACCTCCTTTCCTCTTTTAAAGCCTTTCATCACCATGATGATTGACCTGCTGGTTTTTGATTGGCTGCAGTAGCATGATCATGCCTCGATGCAAAACTCATCTCCCGTCTGATTGGTCAGTTCCTACTGATCATGCTTTCATGTCATGATTTCAATTTCATGGTGCCAAGTTTGTCAGTAGAAGGAAGGACTATATTTTGTTACTGTTTGAAAGCGGAAGGATTTTTGACAGTATTTGATGAATATAATAGGATGGAGGAAAGAGAAGTGTTTTCACCTATAACAGGCTGGACAAGAAACTAAAGAAGTCACACCTATTTCACATTGCGATTTGCATCATGAAGATGATGAGAGGAACAGTTAACATGTGAGGACCGTTCAGCTGTTGCTGTTGAACAGTTGTCAGCAGCAGTTGGCAAAATATTACTTGCGCCATATCATTATTTGAATGTCGGTTACAGATCACTCCTGGGGGTGTTTCACAAAGCCTTTTCTCAATGACAAATGAGACAAATCTGCTGATGACCAATCAGTTGCTTATAACAGAAACTGTGATTTGTCACTGATGACAAGTTTTGTGAAACACCCCCAGTAGTAAGTCATATGTCGACATGTAGTGCAAAAAGGAATATCTGTCTACAAACAAAGATGAACATATTCTGGTGAAAAGATCAACCTTAGTCATCAAGACATCTGTGCGTTTTTTCTCACTCCAAACAATAATAATACCCAAATCGCTTGTTCTTATGCCAATAATCATTTTCTATTTGCCATTTGTTGTTATTTGTATTATGGACATATAACCGTTAGGAAGCTAGAATAGCACTTACCCATAGCATCTAGATCCGAGTTACATATCACGCTTTCAGATTTTAGCAGACAATAACTAGTCAAGATTACGGTAAGCACGATTTTTCAAAAGCACCCACTTTTGACATACAGTTATTAGACGATTTAAAATAATGCATGTTGATTAAAAGGCACGTCACTGAAGAACATGTCTGTCTTCTAGTTACAGTAAAATTCAAATTCAAAACAGAAAAAAATGTTAGTATTTTTTTTGAAACATTTATAAAGCTGCAGCTATAAGCATCTCCCAAGAAGTGATGATCAGGGGGGCATTTCACAAAACTTGTCATCAGTAACAAATGACAGTTTTTGTTACAAGCTACTGAAATCCTTGCTTCTGATTGGTTATCAGCAGATTTGTCAGTGATTTTTGTCATTTGTCATTGAAAAAAGACCTTGTGAAACACACCCCAAGTTTTAGTTGACCTTACCAATGTCTCATTGCATTGTGCCTTTAGAGGTAGTTATGATATTTTGTTATTATTTTCACACATTAATTCATGTTGCATTCACAAGCTTTACAATGATTGTCATGTTCCCTTAGACCCTTTCAATGTTGATGGTATGAAACTAGATGAAAATTTTCATACCCAATGGTATCTCATCTCTCTCTCTCTCCTGTATGTTTTTTTTGCTGTCTGCGAAGTCAAGCGGCAGAAGGGTTTTAAACCTGTCCACCTTTTAACCAATGAAATTATTTTGATGGAATATGAATATACACACTTTCTGTTTACATTATTTTTATTTTGTTCGAATGTGGATGCAGCGATTGAATGCAGTTTACACTTAATTTCGTAATTTCTCATCAATTTTCTGATTTCTGTTTGTATTATTTGATATTGACTGCAGGTCCATCTATTTTGTAGGAACATGTTTTCGTCAGTAATATGTATTTGCCCATGTGACTCTATGCGTTCCATTGTGTATATATTAAAAACATAAATATGTATGTTTTTTACTTAATAAAGCAAACAAAAAAGTAATATCTGTGAGTATTGCATTTCTTGTGAATTGGAGATAGCAGAATAGTAATGTATGCTTAAAGGTAAAGACCAGTAATGGTCATGCGATTGCATTGTGAAAGAAACGTTGTGGAATCGATCAGAAAAGGTTGATCATCTAGCATCTAGCATCTGCAAGGTTCTGGAATCATCAAAATGATAAGAAATTTGGCCCATTCTTCGTAAAGTTACAAGCACTATACACAGAAAGATGTATATGGGACTACCCTATCTCTCTCACACGACCATGAGAGAGATAAATTTACCAAATATATGAATTAGTAGGCGGTTTCCCGGCAAATTTTTTATCATCATGTATTAGTCAAAACATATTCTTTCACATGATTGGTAATGAGAGCTTCCATTTCATTTTTTGAAATTGGGGCGTTACCAATACTGGTCTTTACCTTTAAAGCCCCTCTAAATTGTTGGGAGCCCCACATTTCGCCAAAAGTTTGATGGTAAGATATTACTTAAATTGTATCATAATGTGAAAGAGGATGTAATTAAAGACTCACTTTTGCAAAGATCCCCACCCCTCCCCCCCCCCCCCCCCAAAAAAAAAAAATGTGTTTCAACTTTGAAGACAAATATTGATAAAATAATACATAATTTGGGTTAAATTTGGATTCTTTCATCTACTTCCAACACATTTGTTTTGAAAATCCTTGCAGAAATGAGTTTTAAAGGAATTGGGTAACTTTGTCTCAGATTCTAAAACAAAATCTTGGATGAAGCTCATGCTGCAATGATAATTATAAACCTTTAGGTCCGTTAGGAACCCCATGACTGATTATCAAGATATTTATGATTGGAAATCGAAAATTTCAAAAACCGTTTCCCCCCAACGGCTTGTATAACACTACAGTCCATTGGGGGTAACGAGTATGATAATATCAATTTTTGGGGGCTCCCAAAGCTTTAGAGGCCTGAGGGGATTTATTGAAGTGATCCCTTTTATTAATTTTATCTCATTCTTTCTCTCTCTTTTTCTCTCCTTTCCAATCTCCTCTTTCCGTCTTCCTACCTTCCTCTCTCCATTTATTCAAGGCGTGTTCAGATATGATGCAGTAAATCGATGTGTACTTGAATCAATGGCAACTCTGCACAACAAAGGTCTCGTGCAAATTCACCGTGCTCCGCTGTAAGCTATAGCAATATGAAGCATAGTACACATAACAAATCTGCGGTAGTTTCGCCGCGCCATATCTGAACAAGGCTTGAGCATTCTCCATTTCCTTATTTTCACTCTTTAAAAATTCATACTCCTGGGGGGGGGGGGGGGGGGGGGGGGGGGGGTGTTGCACAAATATCTTAAGTCGAATTTGACTCTAAGTTGCAGTTAAATATTATGGAGAGCCACATGTAGCCTTAAAATAAAATGTATTCAAAAAGCAAAAATTAAGTATTCTAGACTTTTTTTAAATTCCACATCAAGAACATGAAATAAATATTTTCATAGATGCGAACATCTTTCCATAATTGTTAATCCAACTTATAATCTTTGTGAAACACCCCCCTGATCTCTCTTTATTTATACTTATAGATATAAGTAACCTGTCCTAAATATTAGCCTTTCTTTATACTCTGTTTTCCACTTCCATGAAACAAGTAATTATCAACATTTTAATCACCAATGACTGTCTAAAGACGTTTGCAGATAACACTTCGCTGTTGATTCAATTATTTCATGGCATAAAACATTCACAAATCCACTTCATCATCACAAATTTGAACTTCCACGATTGAAGATTCCTATAACTCTTCTCATATTTTACTGTTGACATATTTAAAGAATGCTAAAATATAAAGAAAATAAGGTTACTGAAACTTTATTTCACAAAGTGTCAAAATAATCTTCTTTAAAATAATCTTTGAATTAGAAGTTAACATGTTGAACCAATCAGAAAGGAGAATACGAAAAATTACAAAATGTAAAGAAAATGCAAAGAAAATAAGGTTTTGGAAGATTTATTCTGGTAAGTGTTGAAATGATCTTTAAATTAAAAGAATACAACAGTAGAATACGGTACTTCATTTGTGAGGTACATTAACACGTTGAATTCTCAACCACCGGTGTTTTGCGATCTTGGTGAAAAGGCCCGTCGAGAATCCACCCTCCCCGGTCGATGATGAGCGTCACACAAACTTTGATCAGGGCTTGAAGGACAAAATGTCTGTTTAAAGCCAAAGGGATGTAACTTTCAACAAAACAGACAATTTGGTGATGACGGTGGTGATAATGAAGATGATGATGGTGGTGATGATGGAGGTGATGATGGTGATGGTAATGATGGTGATGATGATGGTGGTGATGAAGATGATGTTAATCGTTAATCGTGATAGTGATGATGACGATGATGATGAATTGATGATTGATTGTGATGACAGTGAAAGTGATGTTGATACTAAACATGGCACTGATAATTAGGTCAAGACCCCCAAAATCGGCTTTAAAGCCAATCTGCACTAGTTTGGCCAGGAGGGATTAGACCACCCAGGGTGGTCACTGACAGGTGGCTATCTCATCAACTCAGCTCTCAATTAACATAAGAAAAAATGATCATGGGGGACCTATGGTCACCGATTAGGCATTGTTTTCTATATAGAGGGAGCAAGTAGCTATAAGTAGTGCAGTGGGGCTTTAATACACCAATCCCATATACCCTACTATCTTTGCTGAAGATGTGACTTATGATTATTTTTGAAGCCCAAGGTACTAGATAATTTGTTTTCCCCGATTTTACAAAGTATTTAAAGGAATTATGTACTCAAATGAGTTTTACAAGTACCATTTTACTTGATTTCCAGGCTGATCCAGACTCCAGCTCAAGTTGGAGTGACACATTTATACTGATGGTATAAAGAACGTTAACAGCTTGGACTTTTAACGTTTCATACATGAAAACGGTGGTTTTGATTGGTCAGTTTCATGTAAAGCATGTCAGGATGATTATGCCTCAATGCAAACGACATCTCGAAGCTGATTGGTGTGTTCCTCTTGATTAGACTTTCCTCGCTGTGTTCTTCAGCATCATCATGCATACTTGCTGGGCCATGATTGGCTGCAAAACTATAACCATGCCTCGATGCAAACATCATCTCCCATCTGATTGGTCAGTTTCTACTGATCATGCTTTCATGTCATGACCTCCTCTCCTCTTTTCAAAACCTTTCATCACCATGATGACCTGCTGGTCTTTGATTGGCCGCAGTATACTGATCATGCTTTCAAGTCATGACCTCCTCTCCTCTTTTCAAAACCTTTCATCACCATGATAACCTGCTGGTCTTTGATTGGCTGCAGTAGCATGATCATGCCTCAAAACATAAATCATCTCCTATCTGATTGGTCAATTCCTACTGATCATGCTTTCATGTCATGACTTTCCCTTCTTCCCTTTCTTCTTGTCCTTCATCACGACCATGCCAACCTGCTGATCTGTGATTGGCTTATTAATCACAAGCACCCTCCCTAGCGACGCCGTCTCTGTGGCTATTCCTTTCACCAACATCCCTCCCTCGTCCGACATCAACAAGATGAGATTTTTGTCCGTAGCATTCTCTTCTTCCAAACTATCAATATGTTCTTTGGCTGCTTGTACAGCCTGCTTGGAAGGGGATGCAGTTCTCTGTGCTTTTGTTTTTCTCTTTGGTGTTGCTTCCTTTTTGCTATTTTCAGTGTCCTGCATGCGTGTTACTCCACGCGTTACAGACCGTCCAGGCGTCATGATTGGCACACGAGCCCTCTTCCCGGCTTCTACTTCGTTCACTTTCTTTTCAGATTCCTGGGGAGGAGATAATCGATGAAGGATCAGAAAATAACCACATAATCAACAAGAATAATGACACATATTCCGGCAAGAATTGCTCAGTAACTTCTGCAACTTAGTAAAAGTAAGATTTGACTGGGGCATCAGAGGGGTGTTTCACAAAGATCCAAAGTCAAACTTAACTCTAAGTTGGACTTAAAAATTATGGAGAGCCATTTGTAGCATTAAAATAGAATATAGTCAAAAGCGAAAATTCAAGTGATTTAGACTTTTTATAAATTCCACATCAAGAACATGCAATCTCCCCAATAATAGATAATATAAATGATTTAAATCAACATTTTATGCCTTTAAAAATATCTTTTACAAAATATTGTCATAGATGCTAATGGCTATCCATAATTGTTAAGTTCAACTTAGAGATAAGTTCAACTTAGGATCTTTGTGAAACACCCCCCAGGTCAATGAGGGGCATCAGGGCAGTGTGGAGCCTGTTCAAAACTAATCCTCAATTCCTATAGAAAAGGGGAAATACGATTAAAGTCAGTGACTATGTCCTTATAAAATTTCACCTGTATCAGTGTTAGCAAGTGTGCCATTCTGCAAATAAATCATCTTTATTGCCACATTTTTTAAAATATTTTTTTTATTTTGCCGAGTGGATATACTGGCTATCATTACAGCAACTTTGACCCAATAGCCCCCCCCCCCCTTCAGTTTTAAATTCTGAAGCGACAATTCTGAAAAGAAAATGGTAGATACCCTTGTAGAGCTGCAAACAGTGTATCTGCAAATAATTCATCCTTATTGCCACATTTTTACGTGCACAGAATTTTCTTTTTGCTGAGTGGATATAATTGCTATCATTACAGCAACTTTGGCCTAATAGCCCCCCCCCCCCTCCCCAGTTTTAAATGCTGTAGCGACAATTCTGAAAAGAAAATGGTAGATACCTTTGTAGAGCTGCAAACAGTTGTCTTTACAATGAGTTGAGCATCATCAGAGAAGAGCCGTGAAAGTCTCAACTTCTTCTCCTCTTCTTCTTTCCTCCTCTCCTCCATCTTCTCCTCTTCCTCCTTCTTCTTCCTCTTCTCCTCCGCACTCCTTCGCTCCTCCCTCGCCTTCTCCTCCTCTCTCCTCCTCCGCTCCTCCTCCACCTCCTTCTTTGCTTTCTCCACCTTCTCTCTCTCCATCCGATCCTTCTCCTCCTCCTCCTCCTCTTTCGTCAGGACCCTGAACTTCTCCAGGGCGGCGACGAGCCCGGAGGCGGAGTCTGCTCTCTCTATCTGCTGGATGAAATGTTTGACCGGTTCTGCGAGAGTGGACAGGTTGGCTTCCACTACCTGAGCAAGCTGCTGCATGGTGTCGGTCAGCTGCTCATGGATGATTTTCTCTCCTGTAAGAAGCAAAGGGGCACACAAACTTTTAAAGGGATTGGGTATATTTGCCTCAGATTCTAAACAAAATCCTGGATTTAGCTCATGCTGCAATCATAATTATAAACCTTTAGGCCAGTCAGGAACGCCATGACTTTTACAAGCTGATCGCCTGTCTAATTATCAAGATATTTATGATTAGAAATCAAAATTTCAAAAAACGTTTTAAATTTCAAACAAGGGAAACGCTCTTGGCGGTCTCGCCTGCATAACGCAATTCAATATGATAACCAGAACGTCAATGAGGTAGCGCTCATCCGCATCTCGCAACAACAAATATCGTAAATTTTATGTGGTACACTTTTGAACTGGTCAAAAAATAAAAATTTGATGCCCTGGAAGGGACATAATTTCATTTTATTTGCATATAGTACCATAAATAATCAATGGAGCAAAATCTCAAAATTCTGTGTAGAAGTTTAGTGTTCCAAATTTAGCTCTACCAGATAAGGCAAACCAAATCAAAATCAGTCAATAAATGAGGGAAAAGAAGCAATTTTTGTTTTTTTTGGAATAAATTTGCATTACCATAATTAATTAATGGAGAACAATTTCAAAATTCTGTGTAGAAGTTTAGTGTACCAAAGTTAGCTCTACGATATAAAGCAAACCAAATCAAAATCGATCGAAATATGAAGGAAAAGAAGCATTTTTTTGTGATTTTTAAATTATATTTGGAATAAATTTGCATAAATTACCATTTTTAATCAATGGAATAAAATTTTAAAATTCTGAGTAGAAGTATAGTGTTCCAAATTTAGCTCTACCAGATAAGGCAAACCAAATCAAAATCGGTCAAGAAATGAGGGAGAAGAAGCAATTTTTGTTATTTTTGGAATAAATTTGCATAAATTACCATAATTAATGGAGAACAATTTCAAAATTCTGTGTAGAAGTTTAGTGTACCAAAAGTTAGCTCTACCAGATAAAGCAAACCAAATCAAAATCGGTCGAGAAATGAAGGAGAAGAAGCATTTTTTGTGATTTCAAATACATTTGCATAAATTAGCATAGATAATTTCACGATTCTGTGTAGAAGTTTTAAATCCCCCTCCTAGCCCTATCATATGAAACAATCAGAATCAAAATCGGTTGAAAAATAACGAAGAAGAAGCATTTTGAAAATCTTGATGTTAATACCACAACAAAGTCTAAGTTTGTTGACCATAAATGACCTTTGACCTTCACTTAGTGACCTGAAATTCTACTCACATGATTGGGGAGACTTGATAACCCTATAGTCCAAGTTTTATTGACTAAGAACTTATACTTCCAAAATTATATCAAAAATTCAAAAACTTAACCTTAGGTTAAGTTTTCGATGATGATGCTACAACATAGTCCAAGTCTGTTGACCTGAAATGACCTTTGACCTTGACTTTGTGATCTGAAATTCAACTCACATGATTGGGTATACTTGATTACCCTATAGTCCAAGTTTCATTGACTAAGAACCTATACTTTAAAATCTATATCAAAAATTTAAAAACTATATCAAAAACTTAACCTAAGGTTAAGTTTTTGATGTTGACGCCGCCGTCGACGCCCCCGTCGCCGCCGCCGTCACCGGAAAAGCAGCGCCTATGTCTCGCTTTTTGCTACACAGGCGAGACAAAAACGTTTTGCTAACGGTTTTTATAACACTACAGTCTATTGGGTAAAATAAGTACGGTAGAACCGGTCACTCAAAGATTTTTACTTTTTTGAGGCACTTCATGATCATTTTGAAATGCAAATTTTTTAGGGCTTCACTATTACACCGTATCACGGACACTGATAACACGTAGGGCTGTGCATCTCAGATTAAGCAATGCCTTAATAAAAGCATTGATAATACGCTTTTCAGCTTACCTGTGGCAAGTTTGTAGATGTGATATTTATCAATTGCAAATGGAAAGGGAGCCCTCGTGCGGGTGGGAACGTCAAAGAATTTATGAACGGATCCAAGATGGACGCAGAAATAGCCCGCTCTCCCTGCGATACAGGAACAGATACCCAACTCTGTGTTGACCGTCAAAACCCCAATCAGGTTCTTGTTCCTGGCGTTGACATGGAATTCAGTTGGGCTGAGCTGTAAGTTGAGATGCATTGGAAGTGAATGATTATGAATAATAATAATAATAATATTCGGTTCTTGTATAGCGCATATCACATTATACAACGTCTCTATGCGCTTTCAAAGAGCTTTGGAAATTATCACCCTAGCTTAGCTCCGGCAGCTGTAATCAGTGCACAGTTTTCATAATTTTGTTTTCTTTTTTAAGTAATAGATTAATGGATATATGCAATTCAACTACTTTCATTTTTGTGACCCTCAAATGCTTAACATATGTAGTTTCTTACATCAATTGTTGTATTCCAATAAAGTAACTGTTTTGAAGGTATCAATAGACAAAAAGAAAACCCTTTGCAACTATAATCAGAAGATTGAACTGCGACACAGAAATGAAATGCCCCCTTCCAATTTCAATTACTCTTACACAACACAGTATGCCTTTTAACTTCATATCTTTAAAATCACATTGCACTTTGGCACTCCATAGACAGAAGCCACATGACCTGACCTGAGTGATGCCAGCCTTGGTGATGTAAGGATCTAGGAAGATGGGGACGAATGAGAGGTCCGTGGGCTCACTCTTACACCCCTCCTCCAAGTTCCTCTGGTAGGCTGCGTCTACTCCATGGAGAAGAAAGTGAGTCATCTGAAGAAGAAAACAGTTTTGAACAATGTATGGTTAGAAGAGAGAGAGATAAAATGGCATCATTATCATCAATGATTCACAGTTCCATCACCATCATTATCATCATCACATCTCAACTGCAGGATATTAAAGTGCCTTCCCTTCTTAAGTATCCTGTCACTCATCATCAGCATATCACTATCAGTCCCACTATAATCAACACAGAAATTACAGCCACCACCATTGTAAACATCACCACTATTGTCATCAACACCAATACCACCACCCTAATCACCAACCTGATCACCACGACCACTACCACCACCAGCATCGCCATCGCCTCACCTGTAGGTTGTTAAAGTGTCAACCAGACCATTACCACCACCACCCGAATCACCACCAAGGCCATTCCTACCACCACCATCACCACCACCATCCCAATCACCACCACCACCACCATCAACACCACCTCCATCATCATCACCACTACCACCACCATCACCACCACCACCAACACAACCACCACCACCATCACCTCACCTGTAGGTTGTTGAATTATTCCTTTCATGAGCACCCAATCCCTCATACAGTTTCAACCAGACCATTACCACCACCACCACCCGAATCACCACCAAGGCCATTTCCACCACCACCATCCCAATCACCACCACCACCACCATCAACACCACCTCCATCATCATCACCACTGCCACCACCATCACCACCACCACCAACACAACCACCACCACCATCACCTCACCTGTAGGATGTTAAGTGTCTTCCTTTCATGAGCACCCTATCCCTCATCATACAGCTCCACCAGACCATAACCACCACCCAATCACCACCACAGCCATTCCGACCACCACCACCATTACCACTGCCACCACCATCACCACCTCCATCATCAACACCACCACCACCACCACCACCACCACCATCACCTCACCTGCAGGATGTTAAAGTGTCTTTCTTTCATGGGCACCCTATCCCTCATGCAGTTTCGACCAGACCATCACCACCACCACCCCAATCATCACCACCACTACCCTCATCACTACCAACACCACCACAGCCATTCCGATCACCACTACCACCACCAGCATCACCATCACCATCACCTCACCTGTAGGATGTTAAAGTGTCTTCCTTTCATGAGCACCCTATCCCTCATGCAGTTCATGACCTTCTGCCAGGGGCAGGCTCCTACCCCTATTCTATGGATGGGATGATCTTCCGGTAGCATCCATTCACTCCATCGGTTCACAATGCCACCTATCACAAAGGGTGCAAACTCCCTGTACCTGAGGAAGGAATGCCCAAAAGAATTAACTTTAATTTGCATCTGTCGTCTCTTTCTAACCTCTCTGAATGTTTACATCTTCTTCTCAACATCATTCATATCTCATATTTTATCCATTTTAAGATACCATTTTCTACTTGTATAAATACATTAGAATATAAAGACATAAACTCAACTTTTTACTTACTTTAACTTGCTTTAACTTGTGAAGTTTTAATATATTTTAACATTTCTCATAGAAATATATTCTTAAAGAGCATCACTCTCCAAAAAGGTTATGATATTGTATAGTAGTTCATTCAAATTGTCATTGGGTAAATTCTTAAAATCTACCTATAACTGAGGAAAAAGAATCTCTGCAACACAATGTCATTTATTGTCATGTTTATTCCAAAATAACCCTAAGAACCTGTCACGTCACAACGCCCAATCATCAATGTCTAGTTACTTACTTGTTTTTACCATCAATAGTTTTGGTTTCTAAAATTCTACCTGTTAAAGCCCCACTGCACTACTTATATCTACTTGCGCCCTCTTTAAAGCAAACAATGCCTAATCGGTGACCATTGACCTCGATGGTCCCCTTTTTCTTATGTTAATTAAGAGCTGATTAGATGAAATAACCACCTGCCAGTGACCTTGCAGGGAGGTCTAATCCCTCCTGGCCAAACTAGTGCAGTGGAGCTTTAAAGCATATTACTTCAAAATAAACAACAATCAATTTGGAATAAACCAGACATTGCCAGGTGTACTTACATTTCATTGATCTCACTGTTAAGGATTTTGATATGGATACTATTAAGCTCTTCAGCTGCTTGGCAATTGATCAGATCTTTGACGAATCCGAAGATTGCTGCATGGTCCTTGCTCTTGATGCGTCTCTTGGGATCAGCCATCCACCTCCAGGTCATCAAGATCAGGTGATAGGGGCTGATCAGGACATTGGCATTGGGGAAGGTTGCTTGGACGATCTCCGGCTTGAAGTGCTCCTCGTCGACGAGGAAGTAGGACGGTCCGTCGCGTCCTCTGCAGCCAAAGGCATCATCCGGGATCAGCATCTTGAAGAGTTCCAGACCCTGCGTGATAAAGACCTGGTCCATGGACGACAGGACTAGGAACCCTAGAGGAATCCCGCCAGCATTGCTCGGGACCATGAAGGACACTACATAGCACATGACCTGACCGAAGCTCTGGTATGTCCCGTCTACAATGCACAGTTCATTTGCTGCAGGCAGATTGGCGTGGGCCCGCCTCATGAGGGGGGTGCAGATCGCAATGATCATATCGTCTCTGTCACCGGTAATCCTCGCAAGGTGGGCATGAGCTGGGTGCATCTCATTCACATGCTTTGATATCAGCTGCTCAAGATCTTCATAGAGTTCCTTCAGATTCACGGTGTTCTTCCGCTTACGGTTCGAGCCCCGGATACGAGTCCTGTAACCATGAGCAAAGAAGTCTTTGCCTGCATCTTCCTCCTCCTCCAATTCCTCTTCTTCGACGTATGATGCAGTTGCTAGGCTTGAATTGTCCATCAAGGAGGTGCTGCTGAGAAGACCAGAGCTGGCCATCAAAGATGACGTGTCCATAAAAATGATTCCAGAGTTGTCCTTGATCACATCTGCTTCAACAACAGTGTTTCCTTCAAATAAAAACAAAAACCAGTTGATGAACTGAGTATTGCAGTAAGGGTTACGAAACCAATCCTCAAAAAAAGTTCCCTGAGAGTACTAATTTAATTTTTTTTCTTTCAGTAAACAATTAAATTTCAGGGGATGCTTCAAGGGCTATGGGGCTAATGGGCTAACGATATCTAAGGAGCAAAGATGACATAACATTAGGCCTAAAAAAAAAAGATGTTGTATTGCCCTTTAAGACCGACCCAAAAATCTTGAAATCAACGTCGGCTTTTAAAAAAGTTTTTTAAAGTAAAAATATATCAAAAAATTAAAAACTGAGAAATATCAGCCCAAAGAGGGAGAAAAAAAAAGTTTAAAAAAGAAAAAGATTTCTGACCGACCAACCCATGTTTAGGCACATATAGGGCAATACAACATCTTTTGTTTTTAGGCCTTACCTCCTACATCCAGTTTCATCCTCTTTGTCTGGGTGACCTCTCCGTCTCCTTCGTCCCCCTCCATGATCACCTCTGTACCCAAGCCATTGGGGAGTCCCCCAGCATGAGACACCCCTAGAGTGGTGGCGCCCAAGGTCACAGGGGTGCTGGTCTGGGCCACGCCCATATTGCGTTGCTTGGCAGACTTTATCGGTTTCATCATTTGCGGCTTCCTCTCCCGCATCATGCGGTAGAAAATCCTGCAAGCAATGCAAGAAAAATCAGAATAATATATTGAAAGCACTAAAGAATAAAAGGCAATCGTATTTTCCACCCCTTTCCTGGTCATTTATTGCTCTTGTTTTCAACTTTTGTCAACATCACTATTACCACCATTTACCATTAGTATTATCCCAGGTTCGTTCTCATTACAATACTTGTGTGTAAATGGTAAGTTAACTTAGGCTAGGTCCTGAACTGTACTACCACTGTAACCATTATTAACCTCTTGACTACTGGGCTCTGTTTCATAAAATTTGATATCAATAACAAGTTACAAGCTACTGAAATCAAGGCATCTGATTGGCTGAGAGCAAATTTATCATAGAAATTAAGCATTTGTTATAGATAAAAAGTTTTATAAAAAGGACCCTGAAATCTTTCATGATTTTGGAGCAGCATGTGCACCATAGCCTGAATAAAGGTAATATGAAATAAAAGTACCGGGTATTAGCATTTTAGAAAATATTACATTTAACTTTGCCAAACTTGTAAACAATGGCCTTGGACAGGATTGAACGCCCTGTCCCGTATCTTTTTCTCATTGTCTATATTGTAATCCACCCAATATTTCGACTACAAGAAGTTCTACGCACCTCCCTAACTGCACAGCTATGAGAACGCTCTATTATTATCGTAATCATAGTTAATGATTTAAGTAGTCAATCAATATTGCTAAACCTGTAAACATAGGCCATGTCGGGATTGTACGCCCTGTCCTGAATCATCTTCTCGTAGTCTATCCCGTTCTCTGCCCAGCGCTTCCACTGAAAGAAGCTCCATGCCGTCAGGGCGCTATGACCAGCCTTGAAGAGATCCGTGTAGAAATCCTCGAGCGTCTTGTCCACGGGGCGGAAGCGTAGAGCGTACTCACTCTTCGTCTCGTGGTTGTGGGTGTGCGTGATGGATATCATGGCGGGGTAGTCTGGCATATGGACGTCTTGATTTCTGATCAGAACAGAATCAGTATTTAAACTTTTTTAATGTTGATATTCTGAATTTTACGCTACTAATATGCGATATGAAACTTACAGGGCATACTTTTTTACCATCTACTGAAAAACGTTTTACAGTGGCTGCTTTGAAAATGTTGAAGAATATCCCACTTTCCATCAGAGAATTAACCTGTCTTGCCACTCTCAAAAGATCCCTTCAAAAATTATATTATTATCATTTAACTCATTTAAAAGAACTTGACTGGAAAGACTGGGTATGAAAGAAAAAAAAACAACCATACCTGTCTTTAAAAAGCATTAAAATTATGCACATCTATAGAAAGACTACCTGTCTATAAAGACCATTTTTTTGTCCTCCCTTGAACAAGATTTCCATTGAAACTCTGTATTAACCATGTACCATGACTCTTGACGGTCAAACAGATGGTGTAGATTATACAGGTATACAGTATAAGGATGTGTGACAAGAGTAGACAACATTTGTTCCATTGGTTCAAAGAAGACTGTTAAAGGGGAACCTGTACAAAAAGACCACCCGTCTATAAAGATTGCTTTCCTTGTCTCACATGGGTGGTCTTTATAGACAGGTGTCATTTCCATGACTTACCTACTGGGACGATTCTTTGAGATTTCCTTGATGTAAACCCTTGTCTCACATGAAATTTCTTTATAGACAAAGCACCTGTTCATAAAGACCATCTGTCTATGAAGATTGCTTTCCTTGTCTCACATGCGTGGTCTTTGTAGACAGGTTTTGTTTCCATGACTTACCTAATGAGACGATTCTTTGAAACAAGCTAAGCAATCTTTATAGATGGGTGGTCTTTATAGACAGGTTTTATTTCCATGACTTACCTACTGAGACGATTCTTTGAGATCTCCTTGACGTAGACCCTGATGGCGATGTTCAGCTTCGCTTGGCATCCGGTGTGCTGGGGCCCGCGCCACGCACTGCTTCGGTCGGTCAGCGCTCTCTTCGGAGTCTCGTTCTTCTTCCTTGGAAAGATGTTGTGTTGGCACTTTAGGTTTCTCTATTGAATCACGAATAAAAGTCATTAGCTTGGGGAAGATGTTGTGTTGGCCACTTAAGGTTATTCTGTCGGATAGCGAAAAAAAGTCATGAACTTTTGAACAACCTTCAACCGCTGTTTAAGAGAGTACATAACAAACTTTGTGAAGATACAAAGTTTGAGGGACTTTTTATACAGTACAAATGAAAAGATGTTGTGTAAGCACTTTAGGTTTTTCTGTTATATAGCGAATAAAAATCATAAACTTTTGATCAACTTTCAACTGCTGTTCAAGAGAGTACATAACAATCTTGGTGAAGATTTGATTTGATTTGATTTATTGGTTTTTGCATCTTTTTTCTTTTTTCATCATACATTTTCATGAACATAATATGGTTTGATACAAAGATTGAGGGACTTTTTAAAAAGTACCAATGTGAAATCAATCTCACTCATAAGGATTGTAGCTCAAGCATTTCAAGTAATTTTTTCCTACCGGGTACCCTTTTACATCACCTGGGTGTAGTGTGGCAATGTAGATTAATATCTTGCCAAAAGACATTAGTGCTGCAGCGGGACTTGAACCGCAATCTATGCGATTAGTCTGGTGACGTTACCACTTGACCACAACACCTCTACAAATTACTTGACTGCAGAGCAATCATTGTCAAAGTATACAACATATAGCATACAACCCTCACCTGGTAAAGTATGCGGACAGCCTTTGATTTCCGATTGCCATGACCGACCCGATACTGGGTATAGCTGACCATCTGGTACTCCTCGATCCATTTATCCATGTCCTTCTCTGTATTGATGGGCAGACGGAGACCGATCTTGAACTGGTCCGGCTTGTCCGGATCCGGAATCTCGATGGCACAGATGTGGTAGTCGTAGCCGCTTGGAAGTAATGCCTGAAAGAATAGTAAGCCAAAGGTGCAATTTTGATTGAGGTACAAATGTCTCATTTTCTCCTCTTTTCCTTAATTTTTAAAAATAATTTCACCTGTTTTCACCCGTCTTTTCGGGCTCCTTCTAGTAAGACAATGTCTTGTCATGCCCTCCCATAGTTCATCAGTACACCACTGCCAAGAGTTCGTTCCTTAATACAAATACAATAGGTCCATCGCTGGATCTGTGGGATCTTTTCATCCCTCTCAAAAAGTGCTGATATTTAAATTCAATTATTTTTCCACATACATCTTGTCATCATACAACTTATGGATACTGCTAAAGGAGGCAGTTATGATTACAAATTTAAAATGAAGATATTCCATTCCCTCTTTTTCCTGTAATATCGACTTCCCTTTGTATACATCGTTCCGATGACACATTAAAACAAAATCATTTAAGTGTTCATGAAGATTGTGGTATTTAATTTACTTAAGCCGTGTATTAACTCCTTCACATATTCGAACTAAAGTCTCCTCGATTCCCCCACAAAAATATTTTTCAATAATTTTTATATTTCCTTCAATTAATATTACCCTACTTATAAACTCCCTATCAAATTGCGAAATCTCACCCAAATTTCTGGATGGTTCTTGTCGACATCCTTCAGAGGCCCCTTGCACGCAGACGACATCCTCAGAGCAAGATGGCTCTCTCCGTGGTACTCCCCTAGCTCCCCTTCCCCGGCCCCTGCTGCCGTGTAAACCTTTGGAGTTGGCTTTTGATACGGTTCCCCCAGCTCTAAATTGCTTTCACTTTCAGGCTCGGTCTCCCAGCTTTCTTGAGGCTGAAGACCGATGTCTTTGTTGTTCACATGATCTGCGGAAGACGTTGCAGTGGCATCTTGGTGGTTGCTACCACACGCGCGTGCTTCATCGTCCGGTTTATCTGTGGCTTCATTCGGGTCCTCAGCCGTCGAGGCCATGTTTTCTCTGCAAAGATCTGAATTACAATCCGAGATATTTAAGTTGATTTAATATTGGTTATGGCCTTATCGTCATCGAAGTCCCCTCTCATTCCCAGTGTACACACACGTTTCCATGCTAAGTCTATGGAGGTGGATTGAAGTCCCCCGTACGCAGACACAATTAAGCTAGCTGAGCTGTGCAGAGAAATGAGAGGGGAATCGGATCACGATAATGCCTTGGTTATTACTGGTTACTAATGGCTATGCAACAACATGCTTTTATGGAGGAAATTGTACTTTTGTAGTGGAGGCAGAGGCAGAGATACGCAGCACGGCTACAGAGGCGCGCGCGAGGCCTAGCGCCGAGGACTCTTTTGAGCCGCGAGCAGTAACGGGGCTCCAGCCGTTGCGCTGCGCTGGGGCCCCGTAGGGTCAGCAGGCAATCAGCGTCATCTCGACCCCGAACCTCCAAAGGCAAGAAAAAGAAAAGGGTTTCTACATGATTTAAATCATTTCCAATACTCTAGCTTATTATTTCGTATCAGTCCATCATATATAGATAGTAAATAGGGCCAAATATGTAAACATTTGGAATTTTAAGGCAGTCAGAGACTCACAATTTGTTGAGGTGTTTGGACGGGTAGTCGGCGGCGCAGTATTACGGTGTCCTTCTTTAAATAATGAGGCAAATGGATAAGTAAATTTTTCGTCCAGGCAAAAAAAAGAAAAAAAGAAGAAAAAAAGAAAGAAAGTGTTTTAGGCTAGATTCTGATTCTATTATTTATTTTGAGCTCTGTGAAATAATTACTGCTAAATACGTAACGGCAGTGGCGGGGGAACTTTTTTAAAAGTAGGGCCTACATGGGGGCATTTTAAAGAGAGAGAGAGAGAGAGAGAGAGAGAGAGAGAGGAGAGAGAGGGAGAAGGGGAAATATTAATAATATTCCATCATTCATTGGCATTTTAATGCATTCGGAGTATAAACTGTTCATAGTTCATTTTATTTCTTCTTTCACAAACATTTGTGGAAAGGATATCCAAAAATAACAGGAATAGCAGATAATTTGAAGTGCAATAGTAATATTCAACATACAACTCTTGTTATTGACTAAGGAAATTCTATAAAAAGTTACTTATGTAGGCCTCTTCTCCACATGAAAGAAAGAGGAGACCCTATAGCAGCCGGGCTTGTTAGAGCAAGGTATCCAAATAGAATATAATACCTGAATGCTTAATTACAGTAATGCCTTGCGTTTCATGTTTTCCCCTCTCTCCCTCTCTCCCATTTATCTTTGCAAGGCCGGTCCGCCCGCGTAAATTTTCTTTACTGTTTAGCCATTTTTGCAAAGAAATTCCTAGAAGTGCTCTCGTTAAAGAGTCTGAGTCATCAGCGCACACCGCTTACAATCACCAGCAGCAATATAGTACTTGTGCAAGCACGTACATCTAGGGAAGGGAAGATAATAGAAAAGGAAAAACAAAGAAATACATATCGAAAGAGAAGAGGATAGATCGAAGAAAAAAACAAAGAAATACATGACGGAAGAGAAAGGAATAGATTTAAGCTAGCTGGCTCTCCAATTAATTAGGGCTTCAAACACCTACAATCAGGGGCGGCGATTTCTTTTTATGACCGGGGGGACGAAATGCGAAGGATGAGGGAACATATTGAGCAAGAGGGGCCAGTGGCGTAATGAGCAAAACAGTTGGGTGTGTGTGGGGGGGGGGGGGGGGGGGGCTAAAGTATTTACGATCAGGTGGAGCAAAGCGAGCGAAGGAAGTGGAGCGTAAATTGGTGTGGGGTCCAAGGGCAAAGCCCCTGCGGGAGTCAAGGGACGGAGCCCCATGGAGTTAAAGGGGTTTAGGCATTTAATTACGGTTAGATGAGCATATTTTGATAGTTATTTGTGATACTGGCAGGTCACTAATTGGATCGTGAAGTCTAGAGGAGAGAGCCCCCGGTAGCTCAGGGATTTCAAGCATTTAAATAACGGCCAGATGTGCAACCAGGGGTCCGCCTTAGGGCCCTTCGTGGGATACAGGGGGTAGAGCCCCTGGGAGCTCATGAGAAAATAATGCCATTTTAGCAACATTTGTAAATCGCTGGTATCAAATTAGAAATAAATCCATTTTTAAATATCATTGGGGGTTACTGCCCCCCCCCCCTTTCAGTACGCCAGTGAAAGGGGCGGAGGTGACGGAAGTGACTACCCCCATAGAGCTATATTATATAGCTCTATGCTACCCAGGGGCGGATCCAGCCGGCGGCGAGGGAGGGGGCCCAAATCGTGAGAAAATATTTAGCGGCGACTCATCCGACCGGCCGATAGGGCGAGGGAGGGGGGGGGGGGGGTTGCACTATTATTTTTTTTCGTGAACCAAATATTTAGCGGCGACAAAGCAAGCCGGCCGAATAAAAGTGGGGGGGGGGGGGGGGGAGGGGGAGCTCTATTTTGTTTTACTCAACACCCCCCCCCCCCCCTTGAGCAAAAAAGGAAAAATTACCTTTATTTGTTTTTGTTGGCAGGCCCCCTCCTTTTTTTTAAAGGTAAAATTAAGGTTACGTTCTTTTTCGTTTACCTATTTGGGGGGCAATGGGAGGGGCCCCTTCCCTAGATCCGCCACTGATTTGTTGATATCGGACAAGATACGTTCAAATTCGAATTCAAACTTTATTGATTTCAATCAAAACAAATAGGATCATGCTCTATTTTATTGTAACACATTGGATAACAAATTTCGTTTACCTATTTGGGGGGCAATGGGAGGGGCCCCTTCCCTAGATCCGCCACTGATTTGTTGATATCGGACAAGATACGTTCAAATTCGAATTCAAACTTTATTGATTTCAATCAAAACAAATAGGATCATGCTCTATTTTATTGTAACACATTGGATAACAAATTTCAAAGTTAAAGTGATGTGACGTGACGTGATCCTTCCCCCTTTCCAAAATTGTAGGCCTACCCGCTTGTAGTATTCCGGTACTGTGCTTCTAATATGACCTTGTCAGTATTGGGATCTTGAGTTAAAGGGAGTGTTTCATGAGGAGACCATGTGTCTTTCCCGTGGCCCTACCTGGGGACAATCGTGCCCCCCCCCCAAAAAAAAATCCAAGATCGGTTGAACTTTTTTAGACCCCTTTTATTTGACCTCGATCGATTACATGTATGTGCCCCCCCCCCCCCCCAAAAAAAAACATCAAACTCTGGCTACGTGCCTGATAATAGCGAGTTTTAGATTTTGACACCGATTCGAACGACCTCGATTACAATAATGACGTCATTGTTTTGCTCGTAGTTGAATCCACGTTGGGCCTCTCTTGCTAGAGCTTTAGATTGTCACACGACGGCAATTATACATGCGCAGTGATACGCAGTGATATGCGCGCGACAAGTTTCCTTTGTTACGCCATATCGATATCTGCACAGCTGTTCGACCCTCACCTTCTCATATCAGCTGTGCAGAAAACTTCTTAATTTCGTCAACAAAAAAAAGTGAAATTAAATAGGTTGAGGTAACGTGATTGTTTTCATTGCAGTCACATATATCTTCTTGAATTATAGTCTCACCAAATACTGTAGTCTGATGGTTGGCTTCGGCATTTGTGTCCATGAGTCGTTGTGATCACTTCGAGATAGGCCTAAAATTTGCCCGACTCCCGGGTACAGTCATGATTCAAAGGCAAAACAATGGCCTCGTATAACTGTGAGGCCCCATGATAAAAACCGTGTCGATGAGCTATATTAGTGCCCTTTTGTGAGGCATTAATCCTCATTACTGTCAGCTATGACTTAAGGACGTAGGTCACCTGGTTGATAAGCATAGTAGCGCACACATGCTTTAGCTCGCAAAACAAACACCTCAGTGCATCTGAGAATGTATACTATTATCTAGATTTATCAGGAATAAATCATTGTCAAAATCATTCCTATTCACTTATACAGAAGTTGAATTTCACTCCAGTTTAATAGAACATTCACTTTGAAAATAATGAAATGCTAAATGAAATTATAGTAAATATTTTTTGTTTAATTGCCACGATCTTCTCAATACACATCACCAACCACTGGTACAGTAAGGGAGTGAGAGGGTTGCCTCTCACACAAACAGAATTTATTTATTGTTAATACAACAATATTTATATCGAAGAGAACGCTCCATCTGTTGGTTCCTGGATTTTTTAGTTTGTATTACTAAACAATTAAATTGCCACCTTACTGTTTGATGACGATAGCACTGTCCGGCCTTAATAATGAAAAGGCTTCTAATCGCAAGAGACACATGCAAACGTCAATAATTTGGCCGGACAATAGAGTACACCCCTTTCCCACGCTACAGAAGTGTCAAGTCTGTTTATACTGATGCATATTTTTTTTCATTATAGAGTTTCTATCCAACCTACTCTAAGAGAGTATACTAATGCTGATTAAAACAATTGAAAGACAAATCCTTGAAATTAACTTTTTTACTACGTCCGCGGTTTCATAAAGTAAGATGTTTTTTTTTAATTTTGCAAGAAAGATTATTTTGAAAGTAAAAAATAATATCGAAGACGAAACAGAAATACATGGATTTCCTAGATACTTTTAGTTGCTGTCATCCCTTTTCGGAATTGATTGCGAATTATGATCATGATCTAAATATGATATCCTTACGTTATTGCATTCATGTGATATCACTTGACTTAACATTGCACGAAATGATAAAAAAAAGTTTAATAAGAGATAAGATATCATGTGATGGAAGAATATAATGTTTTATAATTATGAAAAGATATAATATCAATAATTATTATGATATTATATCATATGAAAAGATACGATGTGATATAGTAATGATATGACAAGGTATGATTATGATAAAAACAATATGTTATTAATACTACTCCAAATAGTAAATGTTCTCACTCAAAATCAATAGTGAAACTATACCTTTTCCATGCTCTGTACAATCGCAATGCAAACAAAATATACATGAGTGATATTAATTATGATATGATGTAGTATATACATATGATATATATCAGATAAGAAATAACATGATATAGATTGTTAATCATGTTAGCTCAATCGGTAACATTTTAGTTTTTTAAAATGTAATAAGACGAATTCTCGCCGGTCTTTAATTTAAAATATAAATGTTATTATATCCGGTTATGTTCGTTATTTTATTTTCTGGTATGCGTATCAGCTTAGGGAAAAAGAAAAGAAAAGAAATTGTAAAAAAAAAAAGGGGGGGGGGGGAGATGATGTTGATGATGATGGTGATGATGATAATGGTGATGGTAGTGATGATAATGATAATGATAATTTACACCGTTTATATAGTGGCGACATAATATTTCTGATTAAAAAACGTTCAAACGTTCCAATGAAGAGAGTATGTGTCACACTTGCCGAAATAGATATGTTTTGAGGCATTATTTGACATGTTCTAGATTGTAGTATCACGAAGACAGAAATGGATCGAGTCCCACAAAGGCTGAGGAATGGATGAAAAGACACAGTCCCCATATCATCCCTTCATGCGTGGTGTGGGTACATGGGGAGTGAGCCCAGAATGAGCGCAACCCAGGACGAAGAAGAGATGGAAAAGAAAGACCTCCAAACTCTCTAAACCCCTCTCGCATCATTTTACGTTATGTAATTACAATCAAAGTCG